TATTGCTTGTATCGTTGAGAAGTTGTGCATTCTTTACTTTGACATTGGTATTTGTGAATATTTTGACGCTAAAAACAAACAGGCAAAACCGAAGAGTAAGGAACACAGCAGTATAGTACGATTTCGAAAATAATATATTTTACTGCGTCTCTTTGATTGCTAATATTTTATTATTTAATCCCTCCCGCAATTATTTCAATTCCCTATTAGAGAGTTTTGACTTTTTTTCTCCCCGCAAACGGAAAACGTGACCACGTTTTCATCGTTTTCCTGTATTTTACTTTACCTTTTACAAACCTTCTCACCAAAGACAAATATTCTTTTGTCTTTCTATTCTTTGGACTTTTTTGCGATTCTTTTTAAGCTATTTAGAATAATTTTTAAATGGCCAACTGACSTTTCACGTTTGCCGTGAACGTAAATCTAAAACTCGCTATTATTTCAATCAATAAATCATTTTCACTTCAAAATCAAACACTATTTAAATCCCAAATACTTATGTATTTCCCACGTGAAATTTGTGTAATTTAATCAAACGATAAATCAGGTTTCTTTTCTTCATCATTTACAATTTATCTGACTAAGAGAATATAACTCCTAAAGCCAAGGCCTGTTCTGGTTTCTCAAACTTCTTAATAATTCATACCCCCCCCGGGAATTCATACCTTCAACAACGAATCAGAACATCATTTTATAGAAGAAATGGTGTGACTGATAACGGGTACGTATTCGTTATTTATGAATGATAATATGGAACAACATGAAAAAAACATCGCGGGGTGCCGATTGTTTTCCGAAAATTACGGAATAAGAACAAAATTCCATTTMTTTTATTCAGTAGTTTTCGGATGACATTTGTTATATTTCTGTGAGTAGTTTTCTTGTTTAGTTGGTGTTTTAATTGAAAAGAAAGATACAATAATACAATAACATTCAACAACATTCGAGTTGGTTTCTTGGTTACGTTATGACTTCAAAAACACGCAGCCATATTGAATTTCGAGGATTAATATTCTCATGGAAATAAACATGGCTGACGCGTGAGTAAGACGCGTTAACATCTGAGACCAGAATTGCAGTTTGTGTCTATATTTTTAAAAACTAAATCGAAAGTCGACTGAAAGCAGAGTACAAATAGACAGATTACGTTACTGAAAACTCCATATGCACCTATCAAAGTTCATCTGGAAGCCTGTTTTGGTAAGAATTTATATATTAGTGTCAGTGCAATTCAGTCTATCCCTCCATCAACTGATTCTCATACCTGAGTTATATGTTCATGAAATCACCCTGAAATGTGTTCTTTTTGATGCTCTACAAAGACCATAGGTCGTGGTAATAACATCAAAGCGGAAATAAACATATATATAGTATAGAACGTCGACTCCTTCGACTTATTATTAATGATTATTGCATTATTAGGCTTGCTTAAAACATTAATACAGTAGACTTGCCGACCTCTCTTGCCTCTCGAAGGGTTTATCGAGCGGGAATTTATCGAGCGCGGCCAACTTGCGACAAAGTCGCGAGAGGTCCGCCGCGCTCCAGTATAGATATACGTAGAGGGCTTGCGAAAGTATAAGAATATATTCAGAAGTCACGGTGTTTCGTAACATGTCATAAGAGAAAGCTATATGAATTAGACGAGCATTCGTAGAAGTCAAATGAGAAAAAAATGGAGCTTGAGCCAGAGATTAGTAAAGGACGAAAGGAAATCATATCATGCTCAAAAATTCAGATATATATATATATATATATATTTCTTTGGCATTCAAGCACTAATTTGGCATTCAAGCACATATTATTCTTGCGGTGTAACCATATGATTCAAACTCCCTCGCGATATATACATAGTAATGAAACAGCCGTTAGGTTGGTTGTTCTAGCAAGGGAAGATAATGAGGAAACATAGCGGTATGACGCAACATTCACCTCAAAATTGCATAGTATTCAGATAAGAGTGCGTAGTGAAGTATCCCTTCTAGCTCCGACGACACTTATTCATCCATGTTATAGATTATCTAGAGGTTTCAGCGCTTTGCTTTTGTCGTTTTAACAGAATAACCGTTTGCGCTAACCATACCGACACGCTGGAGCATTTATCATCTTGCGCATGCGAGAAACAGACGCACTAATGTAAACGTCAACTTTTTCAAAAACCGCCTTTTCGCCTGTCACCGCTCTCAAAGGTCTCCAAATTGGATAAAAGTTTATGGCTACTCTTTCTATTTCGGTTTTTTAGGAACCACAAGTTGTAGCGGTTAATCACTTTCGCAGGTTATAATCACTTTCACAAGTTGGGGCTGTTTCTGTTGCTTCCTATAATCGCTCCTAATTTAAAAGCTTAAAATTTCTAA